TACCTATTTTAATCCGCGCTTAAAATGTATTTTAAGCGCGATTGAATTCCAGCCAATTCAGAACAGTTGGTTTTTAATTCGAGCGCTTAAAAATCGATTTTTAAGCGCGATTAAAATAGGTAGGTTTTGCTTTGTCGCGACAATTGTGTGTGGTGTGTGTGTGTGTGTGTTGTGTGTGCCAATATCACTCACTAAACTACGGTATACGTGCATACAAACTTGGCTACATTAAGTATTATTCATGCTCGATAGATTACATACTCGCTCCGCGCAGGCGTATATTCCAGCCGGCGCGTACCTTCGCACGCGCGCTCAACATACACCGCTGCACCGCGCGCCTCCGGTATACCGGACTGTACCCAGGGTACGTTCCGGCAGTACCCTGGGGGACATAGACCCTATGAGCTATAGCACTAGAGCTATGACTGAGTATGAGTATGTAGGCCTACGCCTATGTATGACTATCATGAGTATGAGTATGAGTATGAGTATGACTTAAACCGACCAGGCTCTCCGACTGTTAGTGTTACACGTAGTGTTAAGCGAGAAGGGAACTTGTGGCTAAGTAGTAAGTATGACTATGACTATGACTACGAGTATGATAGTATGACTATGAGTATGAGTATGTCGGTTCAAGGATAGAGAACATTGGTCCCAATAAAACCAATGTCATTTACATCAATATAATATAATATTGATTATTATCAATATAATAGGTTAGGGTTATGGTTAGGGTTAGGGTTAGGGTTAGGGTTAACCCGACCAGGCTGTGTGACTAACGTCAATACACCTAGGTATTCTAACCCTAGCAATACCGTTTCTTGGAGCTAGGTTAGGGTTAGCTCTAGTACTACAGGGGCGGATCCAGGGGGGGGTGCAGGGGGTGCGCACCCCCCCTAAAAATTTTGAGTTGCCCTTTTTTCTGGCCCACGGCCCTTTTTTCTGGTCCGGACCCTCACCTGCTCGCGCAGAAAACGCATCTGAGGGGGTCTAATTTCAAAAAATTTCGGGGGGAGGGCCCCCCAGACCCCCCTTTGCGTGCTCCCAAGTTTCGGTTATTCAAGTTGAAGTTCAAGTTTTATAGTAAATGTATGAAACGGAAAGCATATAAATTAATACATGTAATGATTTTAATTTTCTTTTGTAATAAAAGTGTGTTCAATCCATATCGCAGTTTGATTTCACCGGGTACTAGTATTTTGTCGCTCTGATGGCAGTTAATTTCAAGCAAGTTGATGGTTTTTGTGGCTTTGTGGATTTTGCCTTGTACTGGAATTGTCTGTTTCATTGCTATGACAAGACTTGAAGTACAAAAATTTCGCCTCATATGCTCTGAAAATGCATAAAAAGGAGTCTGATTTTTAAAAAATTTCTGGGGGAGGCCCCCCCGACCCCCCACCGCTTCAGTTGCCCCTAACAAAATCTCAAAGTGCCCTTTCCCACCTGCACCCCCCCTAGACAAAATCCTGCATCCGCCCCTGCGTTAGGAGTAATGTTGATAGAGAGAGAGAGAGAGAGAGAGAACGAGTGGCACGCGTAATGGCGCAGAGGAATTATGGCCTAAACGTTTTTAGAGATTCCAAGATTTTCGCGTGAGCGTAGATCAACTAAAAATACGTAATACGTAATACGACAGCATAATCCGAGGCCTTACTTGCCCGTCTTCCCCGGGGGTCGACCCGCAGCAGCAGCTGGTCTACGAGGAATCCCTGTGTTATGGCATGATAACCATGAGCTGTCCCTGGTGGCCACATGGGCTTCTGATCGGCCAGTATCTCACCCATCTTATTTCGATCTCTGATCGTGTTCTCGTCCACATCGTAGCCAAATATGTTCGGAACACCAGCCTTGAAACGGAAACTATGAGCTTATTAGTATGTCACATCTAAACCTGCGAGATTATATCAGGTACAGTTAGAGAAAATCATGCAGCATTTTATGTAAACACGATGTTATAATCATGTATTGGAGATCGCTGTATTGGATCAAAGTTCGAGGAGTTGTCGTGGTATCAGCTGTAGTAACTACTTGTCGGATAACATTACGCTGACGCAATTTTTTTCAATTATTATCATAGTTATTTAGTTAAGTTAAATCTTTCCCGCGCCTATGTGGCGCATAGGGCGGTGCCTATCTCCGTTTTCTTTACCCGAGGCCATAATTATTTAGGGTGTTCTAAGGGGCTACGACCCTGCATGCATATAGATCAGGAGTGTATAATATGGATATTAGGGATAATAGGGTATAATAGGGATTATCCCTATTATCTACTCCTGATGCATATAGATGATCTGCGTATATGTGCGAGTAGTGAGATGACACGCCACCTGGTGAGAGACAAGCATGCTGACGGTCACGTTATCTTTGCCATGTTGTCCAAACTGCGGCCAATACTTCGTGACCAGATCTTCGTACTTGAGCAGACGCCTGTCAACCAAAACGGCGACGCACAAGGCTCCAATACCTTTAAAACATAAATTCTACGGGTGAGATGAATTAATTAATGCAAAATATAAAATATCTTAGCAAATTAGCGTGACAGCATGCTTGTCTGTCTGTTCGTCCGTCCATCCTTTCCTTCCGGCTCGTTATCTGTCCGTGCATGCATCCGTCTGCCCGTCTGTCTGTGTGGTCGCCTGTATGTCTGTTTGTTTCCCAGCCTCCTGTAAAATTACAAGGGTTACCCTAAAAAAAACTCGCGTAGACGCTTTTTTTCAAAGCGTTCGATGACCTCACATCTATCCTATGTATATCGCCTGCGACGCTCTATTACCTTTGGAAGTAGAGAAGAAAAAACTCATCGTGTCTTCC